AGGGACTCCAGGTCGTGGCTTCAGTGCTGCAGGAAAGAGCAGGGTCTGCAGGAGTTGCCCTGGCAGATTTGTCATGGTCTCACCTGTGCCTGAAGCTGGGGCTGCTGTTTCTCCTCCTCTTGCATCTTGGCCATCGCTCTGAATGCAGAGATTGGGTCAGGGTACAGCCCAGGCTGCTAGTTACCTCCTGCAGTGCAGGCAGCAAAGATCAGAACAGTGTCCTGAGGCAAGAGGACTCTGGCTTAGAGCATTAAGCCAAAAAAGGAGTCCTTGCAGTGAGACTGGGGTAGTTAAGTGGGAGCTGTGCTCTCTCATGGGGTACTGGGTGCTAGAGAGCCCTTTGGTGTTGGAGCCCAGGTAACTCAGTGCCACCTTAGCTTCCTGTCACCCATCGCAGCTGGTGAGTTTGTTACAACGCCTATGTTGCGCTCCTTGACCCCGAGCACTGCCTCGTCGCTGTTCCCAAGGTGCATTGCAGTTTGTGCTGCTCCCTGCCCCGATCAGGATCTCGGGGCAGGTGGAAAGCTGACTTCTCCACTCTGTATCACAGGGGAGCTTGCCCGTACCTCTGTACGCACAGGGAGATGTGCACCGCCCAAAATGAAAGGGGCCAGATTTAAGCATCAGCTCTGTAGCCCGTAGGCCTGTTCACCACTGTCTCTCCGCTGTCATAGCTCCGTTTGTTTGAACGAGGTTATGGCAGCAGAAGCACAACATGCCGGTGAGTCGGCACCGGTTCTGTGAAATCACCTTGTTTTCTTTCAAGGAACACGTTGATCCTGCCACCCGAGAGTGTGCAAAATTGTTTTCTGCAAGGTTGTTTCTGGGGTCCTGTATTAGTTCCTCTTTCTGGCAAAACACCTTTGGGATTTAGCAGGAGTTCAGCTGGGATTGATGCTGTATGACTTAGTCCAATATGAATAGCATGTCTTTCCCCTACAGAAACTGGTTTTATTGGGCGGTATTGTCAAGGAACAAGTCATAGGGTCACTTTGCTCTGCTTTAGCAATATCCAGGGCTCATAAATCTGCCGTAGAGAGCAGAGCATAGCTGAAAGGAGCAGTCATCACATGTGGAGGCAGCGGTGACAGCACTGCCCAGCAGACCCTGTGAATCACGACCGTAAAAAGCTGTATTCTCACCCATCAAAACTCGATGGTTCAGGCACTAACACGTGCCTGTGCTTTCTTTGCAGGAGGTGTACGTGGGCAAGGAGACCATGTGCACGGTGGACGGGCTTCACTTCAACAGCACCTATAGCGCACGTGTCAAAGCCTTCAACAAAACAGGAGTCAGCCCATACAGCAAGACCTTGGTCCTCCAGACATCTGAGGGTAAGGCATTGCAACAGCACCAGCCCGACGCGCTCGGACACTGCTCACACGCATGCCTGGGGCCCATCCAGCAGACCCACAGCTTAGCACTGCAATAGAGGGAGCCGCTCTGCTGGTCCTCTGGTACCTGAGCAATCATTTCAGGAAAGCCAGCACTGAGGGGAAGAGCACAGGTTATGTCAGGAGCCTTGAACAGTGTCAGAATTTCTCTCTCACCCCTTTTCTTTGCACAAGACGTTCTCTGGGGAGGAGCAATGTGGGTGCGGTGAGAGGCATCCCAGAGAGGTATTTGAGATTTGGTTGCAGCAGGGTTTTACAAGAGATTTGCGCTGACATGCAGGGGAAGCTCAGATGTCCTTACTAATTCCCTTTAAAACAAAGCAAAACACCGACAACGTTGCTCCTGAGTGACTAAGGGTTGTGCGCAGCTGCACTACAACATAACTGTATGATGTCTCCTTAAGCCCCTTGGATTGTACGATAGAGATCAGAGGGACTGTGGAAACGCGTGGATGTCAGAGTGGTACCAACAGCCATGCCGGCATTGTCAGCAGAGCCGATTACTCCCCCGCTGGCAGGTGCTCAGTTAGAATAGTAAACATCCTGTTACAGGCCATGGGGTAGTCTCCTCGCCTGACTTTAAGTACATTTGTCACACCAGGCACTTAATCCATCATGGAAAATTGGCTTGATTTTGACATCCAGGTTGAGAGTCATAAGGCTAGTACAGAGAAATGAGGTGGGAGTTAGGAGCGGTGGGTAATTCAGCTGTGGAAAAGGGATTCATCCCCACATCTGCCACCCCTTAAAGTTACTATCAGAAGAAGAATCCTTCCTTAGGAATCCTCCACACGTAGGGGAATTATTTTTCCATAAATCCCAGACTAAAATCTCTCTATTCTCTAAGCCATGTCAAGATTTTCTTTGACCCCAGCATTACAATACCTGGCTTGTAGAGCCAAGCTTGCGTCTGGCTCTAGAACGACGTCGTACTCCTTCAGCCCTGAGCAGTTGCCAGCAGACACAGTCTAGGATCAGAAGAGAATGAACAGGACTTGTGGGGCTCTTGGTAGGGCACAAAGCAGGTGAGATCCTGCTTGCCATAGACCACCTCTGGTGGCTTTGAGCAAGGAGAAAGAAAGGGTTGTCTGTTGAAAACTCAGTTACATCACAGGCCACAAAGGCATGTCCATCCCATCTGGGAGCTGTATGCGGGTTTGCAAAGCTGGGCACCAGCTTCAAGGAAGCTGCAGTGTTCCTTTGAAGGTCCAGGACCTGGACAACCCAAGCCCAGTCCTGCTCTGGGACGGCCAGGGCAGCTCCCCAAACCTGAAGGTCAACAGTTCTCACCAATTTCACTACCTGGCTCCGCAAGTCTCTTCAGGAGATAACAGAGCTTTGGTTTCTCATCAAATTTGTGTCTCATAAGCTGCATTTGAGATATAATTTCCTAACCAAAAACAGTTGGGCTTTAAGTAGTCCCAGCCAGGCCTTTTCAGAAGTTCCCTATATGATCTTTCCAGTTCTGCTTTCCTCTCAGTATGTATTGCCACTGTTGTCCCAAGCCCATCTATTTTGCAGCTCCCAAATACGAAGGAATCCGTGAGAAGATGTCTCTTCATGGTCCCAGCAGGCCAGATTGTGCTTGGAGGTGTGTGTACGCGCTGTGCCAGGAAATGGACTTCCCATGACAAAAATTATTCCTTTGTGCATTGAACAAAAGTTTGCTGTGATCAGTCTTTTTACTGAATGGGTTTTTACATTTGTTATTCCAGCACAGAAGAAAGAGGGAGAATAAGTCAAATAGGCCTGAAGCATTTTCTGCTCTCAGAGGCAGTCAGAGCTTTCTGGACTCAAAGTGAAGTAAATTACATCTGTGTGCAGCTTCAAGATATCCGAGTGACTTGTTGAGTAGAGCCGCCTCGCGCATCACAGCTCTCTGGTTAGGCTTTTATTTTTGGCATATACAGCAACATCAGGCCTTTAAGTGCTGTTTTGTCTGAAGTAGGCTCAGCTTTACCCTTCAGCCGTGCTCTGCAGCTTACTGCAAAGTGTGTAAGAGAGGAGGAGGGGACAAAATAAAAGAAAAACTCAATATGAACAGGATATCTTTCTGAACATGGCTGTCCTGAGTGGATATGAGAAATTCTGCTTAGAGGGTGATATTTAAGAGCTGGCTTCCAGTGATGTGATCCCAATCCAAAGCCTGTGGAAGTTAACTGGAGTCTTTTTTTTGCCTCCAGTGAATAGTGAAATGCACTGTAGAGGATGGAGGAGTGTGAAGCATCTCACAAGTCCTCAGCATCTGAACAGAGCAAGGATTAGAAAAATGTAAAATTGTACCTTGGAGATCGGAGGCATGTCTCTGTGGTCCTGCCCAGCTGAACAGCCAGGGTGACCCAGACAGCATGAGTGGGAACGTGCCAACGGAAATCAGCACACACGCAAGCCTGCAGCAGGCTGCAGAGCACCGTGCCAGCCCGCAATGATGGCAGCTCTCTTCCTACTCATCCCATGGGGAACTGCATTTTCCAGTTGAGGAAATTACAGTTCACTCTTTAAAAGCAGATGCTTGGTGCCACCAGCAGGGCGAGGGGTGAGATGGCTCCGAGCGGGGAGAAGATCTTTGCCACAGAGCCATTCCCACACGCTGGGCTCTCTGCATCTCTGGGCTTTCCCAGAGGTGAAGATCCTCATTATCTGCCCAGCCAAATTGCAGCAAGAAGCAGAAGGCAGTGGCCCTTTGCTTTAACTGTGTCATCTCCTTAGCTGATGCCAGGTTATTTCTTGTCCCGAGGCACAGCTTGCAAAGCTTGGCTAGTAACAGCACTGCGTGGCTGCCCTCACCCCCAGGAGACCTTAGGTCTCCCCTCAGCCTCCTCTTCCCTAGACTAGACAGCCTCTCTTGGTCTTTCTTCATCTGCCAGGTTTTCCAGCCTCTGGCCAGTCTCATGCTGACTTTGGGACTCAGTCTGTTTTCCTGTCAGCAGTTTCCTGTCTTCATCCTCCCCAAAGCAGGTGTGCCTTGGTGCATTCGTACTGCAGTGATGGCAGCCTCTGAGAGGTCTGGCTGAAAGCCCTGGCTCTGATGTGCTGGTCATGGTGGGAATGCCAACAGCCGCTCCCAGGAACAGGTACCCAACGCACGCTTACAAAAAACAAGCAGAGGAGGAGACACAAGTGCTCCCAGTTGCAGTAACATTAGAGTCTGCAGGTGGGCTGGCTACAGGCCTGCTTTTCTCTACAAGATTTCTGAGATGGCTTCTGAGTCCCTCAAGTGTCTTCTCTCTCCATGGGCTGTGTGGCATCTGGATATCGGGGGTGAAGGATCAACTCACCCCATGTGGAGGCAGAGAAGAGAAGCTCTGCAATCCTGGAGAGGACTGTCCCTGCCTGGTCCCCACAGTCCCAGGTCTTCACTCCTGCTGGTGGCCTGGCTGGTGGAGGGGTTCGATCTCCCTGCTGCCAAAACCCACTCCTCCTTTCTTGCCCTTCCACAGCATCACACTTGAGAGCCCGCACTGGGGAAGAGCTGCACGCTGGGCAGCTGCCTCCCTTCCTGCTGGCTCTGAATGCTCTGGAGGGCTGTTCTCATGGAGAAGGCTCACAAATCCCAGGAAAGGTGAGGAAGTGAAAGCAGAAGCCAGAGCTGGGGAACAAGCAGGTTCACTGAACCAAAAGCTCAACTTGGAGCTCCCAGCCCTTCCCAGGTCCTGCATTTTGGAACAGATGTCCCCCAGCGCCTAGATGGCCCCACCTGGGCCATCGCAGCGAGGGGAAGCTCTCCAGGCTCAGCAGCACTTGGGACAGGCCCTCGAAGCCTAGTGACAGCTTTCTCCAAGCTGGCCAAAGCCCGGTCAGTGGCAGATTGCATGCATCATGCCACATGGTCTGACTAAAAGGCTAAAGCCAAAAGAGACCCTGACTACAGGATCATTTGGGTGGGAGGAAAGAGCTTGTGAGTCCCTCACCCTTCTCTCAGCTGCTCTGAGTCTTTAGCTCCAGCCATGGTTGCAGAGTTTCAAGGTGAAACTTCAAGGTCTGGTTTTGGCTTCTTGTTTTCAGGTGCTGCCTGGGAGTTTTAGGTTTTGGGAGCAAAGAATGAGGGAGGAATACCTGGCTTGTCACATCCTTCCCCTGCCACCCCCTCTCGCAGGTTCCAATCTCCGAGCTGTTTCTGCCACCAGCCTGGGATGGAGATGTGGCAAAGCAGCTTGGGCAGCATGGTTTGAGAGCCCTTCCCCAGCCTAGTCAAGCACCAGAAGCATTCCTCTTCTTTCAAGCTCTTTGTCGAGCTGTGAAAAACCCAGTCATCTGGGGCTCAACTTAACCTCACAGTCACCTCACAGCTGTGGAGTGACCTGCAACAGCAACCAGACCTTGTTGAACACCAGCATTTGGAAGGGGCTGAACAGCACAAGGGGAAATACACTGCAAGGAGCAATAGGAACATAAGAGTTGTCCTGCTGGGTCGGACCTCAGGTCATCGGTGACCTCAGTCAGCTGGGGGCAATAGGAGACGCCAGACAGGGAGAGCGCGTAAGCCTGGCTAATCTGTGGTCTGTTCCCCTCACTCTCATTAGAAGTTAGAGGGCACATCCCCCTACCTAGTCTTGCACTGCTGTGCAGGAATGTGTCTAACCCATTTCTGAACCCACTGATACTCCTTGCGTCCACAGCCTCCTGCAGCAATAAGTTCCAGAGTTACAACCCACTGGGCAAAGAAGTACTTTCTTTTATGTATTTTAACAAGATTTCCAGCTCAATGCATATTCACAGCTGAGAGAGACAGGAAGGCTGGGTATGTAGTGTCTGGGAGTTTATCTGATTTATTTGTGTGGAGGATGGTGGATTCTACATTTTCATGTTAAAATACCGTTTGACAAGGCTAGGGAAGGAATTCCAGGAGGTAATTGTGACAGTGGGGGACTGGATTTGATGACCCAAGAGGTTCCCTCTAGTCTGACATTTTGCTGTGAATCACATGGGTTAAATTCTTATTGTAAGGCTCAGATGTGTTTTGACAGGTACAAAGAGATACCAGGAACACAACATCCTGAACAACCTTTGAGTAAGGTGGGTGCTTGGTGGTACGTAGGGTAATACGATTTAGCTCAGCCCTGCAAAATGCCTTTGCAGTGTTACCAGCTCACTAGCAAAATGACACATCTAGCCTTTATGCCAATAACTACTGTGCACAAAGAAGGTACGAGGCTTTTATTAAAGAATAATGGGAAGTGTGTATGGTAACTTGTGAACTTTTTTAGGTGCGTTTCATTACTGTGAAGAGTCGCCGGACTCATTTTAAGGAAAAGCGTGTTGAATTTGTCTTGATGACATGGGAATGTTGTGGAAGATGAAACTGTGTTTATTGCTGATGCTGTCAAAGACAAGGCTTTCCTGAATGGTATCGCTGGGCTGCACAGCATCAGACATTTCTGCTCCACGCACCGTATGCACACGTACCCGCACGCACTCTGCAGCAGAGCAGGGTCCATGCACGTTAAAGCGCCTGTGCTCTGGCCTGAGGCCTGGTCTCAGGAATGGTGTGAAGCCGTCCAGCAGACCTGCTTTCTGATCTCTAGTTTGCATTGATCTTACATTTAGACACGCAGTCAGAAGAACAGACCCTCCCTTTTCCAGTGCCTTTGGAAAGATTGCAGCTTCGTAGAATGAGTCCTTTCTCCTCCACCCTTAATCTACAACCCAGCTTTCCGGGGAGATCCTACTTTGAGCTAAGATCTTCGGCCCACCAGCTGAGCTTGCATTCTTCTTTACAGTCCCTGAATTCAGCCGGTGAGCTGAGTACCTCTGGCATTTCCTCTTGATCTGTGCTTCTGGGCATCTCCAAAGTATTTGTTTGTTTTGTTCCGTTTTGTTTGTTTTTCCCATGACATGCGGATGGCAGAGGGAACTTGTTCTGTTTGTCAGTGGCCTGCTCCTGACGCCGAGGGAATTTTGATGGTGTAGTTCTCGTGGTGTATTCGTCTGTATGTACCAGCACAGTCAGTCTGAGGTGTGGGGTGACTGAGCAGCACAGTAATTCTGTATGGGAGTGCTGTTCTTTGCGGGGCCGCATCTTTATTGGCATTCTGGCAGTACTGCTGGCATGGCTGAACTATTTTGCGCAGCCAGCCAGCAGAGCAGATTCCTGATCTTTAGTTTGCATTGATCTTATGTTTAGACACAGTCAGAAGAGCAGACCCTCCCTGAGAGAAATCTGTGGGAGCATTGTGACCGTTTGCTTTCCCTATACAGCCAGAAAATGCAGCCTCTGCTGTGAGATTTTGTTCTGTGAAACTAGTTCACTCAATTAAATCTAGACCTAGCAGACCTCTTAAGAAAGGATCAGGTCTAGACGCAAGCAAGGTCCAGCTAAGACCGTAAGAATCCAGTACACAGACCTTTTGCGGTCTGGCTTCTTAAGACGCTGAAGATGCGAGCTCTCATCAACTCAGCTTTGAGCACTGGGCTCAGCTTTTGGAAAAGCAGACGTGGTCGTATTGAAGTCTTGTTTTCTGCAGAGCAGAGGAAACCACTTCAGTGACACTTTGCTCGTCTGGAAGCACCCACAAGCACTTTGCTTGCCTCCTTGTGCCTGGTCTTCGCAGGCTGCGATGGGACGTAGGCAGTACAGACAGAATGAGTGACTCTATCTGGCAGCCAGCAAAGGAGCGACAGGCACGGGACATCTCTCAGAGCTATTTTCTAACCAGTCTTTGCACATCTTCCGTTGCTAAAGATCCTGGGCCCTGATTCTTCCGCCACACTGAATTTACACCACTCCGTGGGCTCCAGTGGAGTAATTCACGGCTTCCTCTGGTGTAAGCCCAGGAAGAATGGGGGTCCCTGATTGTTTTATTTCCATCCCATAACCCGGAATGAGGAATGCTGCAGCATGAGCGTTGCCAGAATAACCGGGGGCACTGCCCTCTATCAGCAACTTTATTTTCTTTGTGCTTTTTATGTTTTTTCTCATCGTACCGCTGTGCACTAATGGCTTGAACTCTGTTTTGTTATCGGACGTTTCTTACTTTGTGTCCCGTGTACCAAGATCGCCTGTGATGGCTCTGAGCAATACTTGTCTGTGGAGTACGTATCTTCGCAGTCATGGGCTGGGGTGGTGGGGCAGGGCGAAAAAGGGGTCTTGAATTTGCCAATGTATCCATGCTCTTTTGCAATCAGGCGAATTTGTATTACAGTGAAACAGAGACCTTGAAAACCACTCTTTGAGAAGGGGCACGGGGCGCGATTCATTAAAACGGCCTCAGCGGGTGCTGCTCGGCGCCCTGCCAGCAGTGCTCTGCGCTGCGAGGAGCACGGTAGCAGCGAGCGCATTCTCACCAGCAAGCAAGTCAGCAGAGGGAAAAGGCCTGCTTTTTTCATCAGAGAGATTATAACCAATCACAAAACTAGACAGGAGTTTCTTTAAAAGACAGCACCCTTTACAAATACCCTGGCCGGGTCTTCCATGCAGTGCCAACATGGGGCTTCATGTTCCCCTCTCCTCTAGGTGAGGACAGACTCCTGTAGCAGTGTCCCGCTGTAGTTTCAGCTCCCGGGAGATGTTGGCAGCCAGGACGTGGCGCAGTCTCGGGAGAAGGAAGGGGATCCCTGACGCATCCTTCAGCCACAACTGAGGCTACAACCCAGTGCCCTTTGGTTCTTCCCAGGGGTTTGGAGGTCAGGTGTTTGCCTCCGGAGACCCCAGGCAGAGCTGCAGTCTGGAGCAAGAGAAGCACTTGGGGTTTGTCCACTTCCCCTGAGCTCCCCTGTCTGAAAATGGCTTTCTGGAGCGCATGGGTTGTGCAGGGAAGCCACAGGGCACCTGTAAACCTAGTCCTTGCCCTAGAGGCTGTGGAGCATAATTACTCCTAAAATGCGCCAGACACTGATCTGCTACCTGTGAAATCCACCGCAGCCATCAGCCTTAGCCGCTTTGCTCCTCTCTTGCCCAGACTCCAAACGCTGCAGGGGAGACTGCCCAGAATAACTAGGTGGTCCCTATCCCACAGGAGACACCAGTGGCTGCTCCTCTTCTGTGCATCCCTTTGCTCAGAGGAGCATGTTTTAAGCGATTCAGTTCAACCTAGAGGATATTTACCAAGTTGACAAAATATTCTGACATTGCTAAAAGTTCCTGCCTCTTTTCTGGAGGAAAGTCCAATGGCACGGGATCCAGAGCTTACAGAAATCAGATTTCATGCTCTTGAAGGCTATAACGGGATCTGGCCATGAAAGAGTGATATTTCAAAATCACAGGTCGTATTTGCAGCTCCACTCCATGCTCTTTGGCTTTTAATGAATCAGGCCTCCAGTGGTTGGTTGGATGCTTCGTTAATGGTTAAAATGCTCATGAGTGTTTTTCAGGAGAACAGTTGTTGTTTCTTAGCTTTGATGTGTGAAATGTAGTATCTCTTTATAGGATGCAATTTTGACACGCAAGCAACGCCTTACTCTCAATTAGGCAAGTATATTTTATTACAATTAAGTGGCACCTACTCTATGTTGCTCATCCTTTTTCTTTATCTGTATCTTTTCTTCATTGAGTGAGCAGCTCTCCTGTGCATACCCTGCTTGCAGGGCACTCTCCGATGTCATGGCAGTAGGCAAATTTGAATGAAGAATGGTCATTGCTGTGTGATGTAATGGCATTTTAAGTTTTTCCCCTTTATGGTTTTAAAGAGAAGCCTGAAGTCAGTGCTGTGGAAAAGGCCCTCTAACTAAGAACCGATCCTTCTACTTGGAGCAGTATGTATTCCAGTTCAGTAAGGGCGCTTGAACATTTGCCAAATATCAAGTAGGTGATTAGCCTCTCTGCAGCTAATTGGAGCGCTCCTGGTGGGTGCATGCCTCTCTGATTCAGACTCTTGACCTGATTATTCCAAGCTGAGAAAACTTGCATTTCCTTGTGCCTTCTCCTGGAGAAGTAGTACTCAGTAGCCTGCAAAATCAGGCCCATTCATTCCTCCTGGATCCCTTTAAATAACACAGCACACTCCGTTCCTCAGGCTGCTCACCCGCCATGCAGTGTCACAGGCGCGCCGTCTGCAGCGCGGGTCCATCGTGAGTCCGTCTCTCCACAAATGTCAGTGTTTGCAAAATACCAAAAGATCCATGCGCTCACTGGAGAAGCAGGCAAGCAAAAATTATTTCTGATTCCTTCTTCTACTGAATGCCAACTTCACTTCCTGTTTTCTTTCCTGCATGCCTTTCACTGGAATGACAACAGTTGACATTAAAAAAATGGTGGCAGGTACGGAATCACTTCTGTTGAGTTACAAAAGTGGGGCATCCGAGTGCATGTGAGCCGTCTTGTGAAACGAGGCAATAAATCGATGAATAAATCTCACCACAGTCTTTTATTTTTCAAGGCGTATTTACCGTCGCAGGCATGAGAGTATTTTGTGGATATGTCAGTTCACATTTCACTGACCACTGGAGAAAACCACCTGTGAAACTTGGATAGTGGCTTGTGAAACCCTGTGCCTCTGTGTTGTCAAGAACATGACACTGTGTCTGTCAGATTGTCAGTAGCCGAGTCCCGTGCATTTAAACCAGCAGCTGTGTCGGGTCGCAGAGGTTCTTGAGCGTTTTCCAGCATTCCTATGAGCTACATCTTGTATTATGTGTGGCTAATTGTTCCATAAGGAGGTTCCTCGGTGTTGCATAAAGTCTCCGTAAACGTAGACCTGTCTGTGTGCTTTCGGTTCCTAGAACTGCGAGCCCTCAAATGCTCACGCACAGTTTATCTCCTGATCTTGAGTCCCCCTTCCCACAGTGGGCCTGACCCTGCAAACCACTGCTCACATGAGTGACCTTAAGTTATTAAAGTCAGTATTAATATTTACATTACGCTAGGACCCGGAGACCTGACCAGTGTCGCAAGTCTCCTTCTGCTGGGGCCAAATTTTAAGAGATTGTAAAGATCATGGAGGCTAGCTAGCTGAGACAGACAGGCGGCAGGAGGGGACAGCGCGCCTGGTTGTGACTTCCCTGCAGACAGACAGTGGGGGAGCAGCAAGAGTAAAGCTCAGCTGAGTCCCAGCCCCAACCGCTCAGCCACGCTGGCAGGCTGCAGCTGCGCAACCTCAAGCTGCCCATAGTTTCCGTAAGTGATCCCACCTTGCAGATTCCCCCTGGGAGCGAGGAGCTCTCTCCCATGCGTAGTTGCCGCTGAAGCAGTGCTTCTCCTTGCTGACGTACGTGGTGATGAGCAGTCCCAGCCCACAGCTGCAGCTTGGAGCTAAGTGTTGGCCCTGCATGGAGCATGTGCTGTTTCTTGTCCGGTCCGTGTGGCTTGGTTGCTGAAATTCGTGTGCCTGCCAGACTAACCTGATGTTGTTTGTGTATTCCAGTTGCTTGGTTTTCTTTCGATCCTGCCTCTGCACATGCTGACATCATCTTTTCTAATGACAACCTGACTGTCACCTGCAACAGCTATGATGACAGGGTTGTGCTGGGCAAAACGGGCTTTTCCAAAGGGCTCCATTATTGGGAGTTGTCGATCGATCGTTACGATAACCACCCTGACCCAGCCTTTGGCGTGGCACGCATTGATGTCCTGAAGGATGCCATGCTGGGCAAGGATGACAAGGCCTGGGCCATGTACGTGGACAATAACCGGAGCTGGTTCATGCACAACAATTCCCACACCAACAGGTATGCGATCTGCAACAGGGTTTTCCTCCTAGAGACCACAGCCCAAACTCAGCCCTGATAGAAGAGAGCCTGGCTTTTCCAGGGCGCGCGCAGGAGGGGTGAACTAACTCCTCGTCACCCTTCCTAGAGTGTGTGCCCTTGCCCGACACACAGGACAGTCCCTGCCTCCCTGGTTGTGTCCTGGTCCAACTCTTTCTACCATGTGTACTGTGACCTGTTCTCATGCTGACCCTTCCCCAGGCATGCCCTGCACCACTGTGTGTAACGTTCCCCTTCGACTTAACGCTCAAAGCCTTACAATATGTGCAACGGAAAAATGTTATCTGTATTTACCCTTGTGCCACAGCTATTGTTTGCTTTTCCCATAGGCCAGGGGATCCAGGGGCTTTAAAGCTTGCTGTAGCTTGGATAGGGCATGGTATTGTCATTCTTCAGCCTCGAGGGTCATTCCCTGGTGGAGTCTCTACGGGTTTGAAATGGGCCTTGCAGGTCTGTCCCAGGCCCTCTTGCTTTCCTCCGATTGTGTTGCTGTGGCTGTTCTGGTGGATAGCTTTGCTCTCAGGGATGTGTGGTCGCAAGCAGAGAGCGCCTCTGCAGAAGGCTTTCAGGAAGAGGTCCCCTTGCCTTTGTCCAGACCGGACTGAAGAGGGGCCAGCAGCACGCCATGGGGTCTTCACACCCCAAAATGTCTGTTAGCACTGGGGTCAGTGTCCTCCAGAGTTTCCTCTCTTGCCTTCACAGCTTTTTCTCCCAGATACCGTGCAGCGCCAGGGAGTGCTTTTTCTACCTCCTCAGCCTTTCTTTCAACCCTGTCCCCCACCAGACTGTAGCAGCCTGACAGTTTTATCATCCCTCGTGTTCCCTGTCTCCATGAAGATTATCTGCAGAGCAAAGGGAACTCCCCTAGTCACCAGTCAGTCCAGCTGGTATCTAAAGCTCAACCCAAGGACATAACAGCTCCTTGCACCAGGTACTTGCCAGCCCCAAGGGCCAGCAAGCGTGGCTGCGATGGGTTCAGGTCCTGGCTTGGCTCCTAGGTGAAGTGTGAAGTTCATCATTACCAGACTTTAAGAGGAGGTGGCTGTAGAGTCAGAGGGATGTTTCGTGGGGCACCAGAGCCCTTGTGTTAGTCCTGGAGGTACTCATGCAGAGGTTCCCATTGCGAGGAAGAGTGTGATTCTTTTGCTCTCCTCAAGCTGGATGATTTCTACTCTGTTCTCAGCCAGATGAGCCCCCACGGACTCCTCTTTCCACCCTGTTGATTGCAGGACACTGTTTGCAGTGACAGAGGAGCCCGTCTTCTTCTGAGCCCGTCTTCTCCTACGCAACTCAGCCAAGCACGCAATAACCATGAAATGCTGTCCTCAGATATGGGGAACCTGACAGACACGCAGGGGCTGGAGTCTGGCTGGTTGCTCTCTAGACGACGGTAACGTTCAGGCCACATGCGCCCGGTGGGTTGTCCTAGGAACTGCCCTGTGGCAGTGGGAGATTAGTCTGTGCCCTGGCAGAGGCTGTGGCCTGAACCCTGAGCAGGGAGCATGGTGGACGTTAAGCCACAGAGATGCCCTCATTTTGTTTTTGCCCCTGCAGAACCGAGGGTGGGATAACGAAAGGTGCCACGGTGGGAGTGCTCCTCGATTTGACCAGGAGGACCTTGACGTTCTGCATCAATGAGGACCAGCAAGGGCCTGTCGCGTTTGAGAACCTGGAGGGCCTCTTCTTCCCAGCTGTCAGCCTGAACAGGAATGTGCAGGTATGTGCTTTAACCGTGCTGTGTGGAGGAAGGGGCTTGACCACAGCTGCATACGCTGTACCTGAGCTTGCTGGTACACTCCTGTCTCTGAAGCGCTCTTTCTCTGACGCTGCCATTGCTGCAACCGGCGTTGATGCTTGCAGCATGGGGAATTCGTGGAGTGGGGAGCTTGGAAGAGCAAGACTTACACCCTGAACTACCAGAGAGTCTCTAAAAACGAGACATGCCTTTCTGCAGCGGGTGCTTCCTCTGGCTCCCTGCTGCAGGTTTCTCCGTCAGGGCTGACAAAGCACTGGGATTCTTCCAACCTCATTTGTTCGATGGGGTTTGACATCTCTCTCTTCTGATACTACCCCCAAGGAGCCTCATGGCTCCTATATCTCTCCTAGGACCCAGATAGGAGCATTATCAGGGAGAAGGGCATCTCGTAAAGCCTATTTTCCACTGCGGAGTTCCAGAGCCATCTTCTTTCCCTTTCTGCCAAGCACTCAGCTCTCCCGAGCATCACCAAGTGGTGGCTCTCTGACCCTATCTGGTATTTGCATCTTTCAGTTTTCTTTTCTTGTCACTAATCTCTTCCCTGCTATCATCTACCCCAAAGAGTCCCTCGTGTTCACTGTGCCTGGCTTTGGTACATCCGCTCCCTCACCTTTCACTCTGCCAATACTACCCAAGTGCCTAGGCCTATCCTAGGAGACACTGGTTGAGACTGCTCATAACAGATGACTTCAGGGGTCTCAAGCATGTCCCCACATCTCCGACGTGTCCCACATCCCATGCTGAAGCCCTGCTGCACTGAGAGCAACACCGATTTGTGTCCAGCTGTCTCGCCAGCATCACTGCAGGCTACTGCATCCTCCCTGGGCTGCGGTATCCTCTGCACACCCACGAAGGTAGGTGGTCGGCCAGGAGGAGCCCCGTGGCCCTCCAAGCCCTCCTTTCCTCCAGCTGGATAGAGAAAAGGGCTGCCGCCTTTCTCCCGAGCTTCCCACCAGCATTGCACCTCAGTAAATCACACTGTATCCCCCTCCATCCTTGCAGAAGGATGCAGCAGCCCTGGCTTGGGGGAAGGCTGGCAGATGTGTGACATGCCTAGGACTGCACAGGCGGTGTGGGGGGTCTGAGCCCAGCAGCTGGCCATACACACCAGGCTGCCATTCCTCCCACGGGGCTTATTGTCCACAGGCCTACAAGGAGCACCCCTCCCGATGATAGATAGGCTTGGAAAGTGTGACCGCAAAACATGTCCTTCACCTCCCGTTTAATTAGAAAACGTTAAAGCCCATCTTGCTTGCACTGCTTTTAGAGGTTGGTGAATTAATTTGGTATGGTAAAAATGTCCTACTCCTTGATGGGTTTAATTTCTACCACAATTCTCTATATTACCCTAAGAGATAAGCACATTTATAGAGCCCCTCTGCTTTCTGAGAGTTCAATAGGCAAGACAGCGCTTGAAGTCCCCAGACAATAGGAAAGTCCCATGGGACGCTGACAAAAGGCTGCTAATAAACCCAAGTTGTCCATTATCCTCCTCCTTCAAAGGTGTATGAGTAATTAAAATGACTCTAATTAAGATGGAAATAATTGTATTTTAGACAAAGTTTTCTATAAATTAGAATCTGAAGGGGAAAATGGTGCTATTCAATAGATGGAATTGTACTTTCCTCCTAGTTTGAAGTGTTTGGGGAGGGGACTGCACCAGGCGCGCGCAGCTGCTCCTCGTGCACGTGAGAGCATTTGTGGGACCCGGCCCCCTGCCCGGTCAGGCACGCTGGCCAAAGTCTGTGCCAAATTGCTCCCCGATACAAGGAAGGTGTAGGGCGTGACTCAGAGGCATCTCAGAGGGCTCCTTCTGCAACAGCTTTGCTGTCCTTCGTACCATCCTCTGCCCGTTGTGTCTGCAGAAACATCTAACTGCTGCCAGGTCCGCCGCCCTCTCTTGCAGCCAGCTGTTGGGGCCATTTGCAGCCGGCTAGGTAAATTCGGAGCAGGGATCTTGGTTTGGGGCACGAGCTAGTCTCAGCGGTCCCACGTGGTGACGGAGCTGTGCGGTACAGTGCCAGCGTGTCGAGCGTCGGCCGGTCCCCGCTGACCCCACTCTCGTTGCAGGTGACGCTGCACACCGGTTTGCCCGTCCCCGAATTCTACACTTCCAGATCGGCCATGCAGTAAGGACGCTCGTGGGGCCGGCCGCCTCTTCGCAGGATGAGCTAAGCCAGCCCGTTTCCTCCTTCAGGAAGAGGCCTGCTGATGAGCTGGAAGATCTTTGCTCAGCTGGTAACTGGAGACCAGGGGAAACAAAAAGGGAAAGAAGAAACTGGCTTTTGGCAGTCTTTGTTCTCCACCCTCCAGCACCTCCAGCGCTGTCCTATGTGTGTATGCTTTGCTGTTTAGCTCTTTTGGCTGATGAAGTACCTAGGTAGCCTGAGATATTACTCTGTGTCTGCTTTTAGGTTTAGTTTTATTTATTTGATTTGGGGTTTTTTAGGGGGGAGGTGGGGGCAGTTTTGTTTCGTTTCAAAGAGAGCTTTTAGTTCCCTCGCCACATTGTGGTTAGCCGCGTGCCCTGCCGCCGCTGCAGCTGGAAACGGGCTGACCACCGCAGAGCGAGACTCCTACCAGGCGGAGGAAGGGTCTGTACCGAGAAACCGCGGAGGGATGTGGGGAGGGACCCCTGCGACAGGAACGCTTTTGCCCATGCCAGTCACATTACTTTGCAGGCTCTTTCTTTCCCTGTGGCCTTTCTTGCAGAGCACCCTCAGTCACGTTTGTAGACGTTGGTCTTGGATTACCAGTGAGTCTCCAGAGCCCGGTGGGACGCACCACTGCCGAGCTGGTCACACCGGCTCAGGCGTACAGCGCCCGTCTGCATTTTTCCCACGCACCCACCCCTGCCCACACACTCCCGTACAGCCGTCGGGTGATTTTGCCAAGCCGTGGTTAGACTGCCCGTAGTTAAGCTTGAGATCGGTCGGAGGCGAGAGTTGCATTTCGGCTGTGATTATCGCTGGGTTCCCGCAGAATCGTGGGTCATTGACCGAAATGCCTGGGTCTGCCGCTGGTCATCGCCGAGGTGTTGCTGTGCAGCTCGCTCGGCCGACCAGGGAGTTGGCCCGTCCCCAGCTGCTCCCAGTCCCGACATCCTCCGACCCTGAAACACGCGCTCGGCACCTGCTCCGCGGCTCTCCCCCGGCTCCCTGCGAACCAGTGCCAGCAAACAACGCCACAGCCATATGCCGGAGAGCCCTCGCTCGGCTCTCTGGAGATTAGCGTTTATTTTTTTATAGTTGCCGTATAAAAACCTAGCCTTAAATACTACCTGATAGTGTCCTTTCTTTCACAGGAGAATTCATTGTGCAGCCAGGGTCTGACCGGGAGCCCGGGGACGGGGACGGGGACGGGGAGGGAGCAGAGCTGGCCACAGCCCTGCCGCTCACTCAGGAATACCTGCTCCTTGCCATGCCTACCTGTGCCTGCTGTCACCAGCAGTTACCGTCAGTCTCCACTCAAACGCTGTCACTCTCTGGTAATTCAGGCGAACGCTACACACAGAAAGGACAGGTCGTTAGCGCCGTGCCCAGCGCCAGAGCGTTGGCTTCTTGGTTCTGTAACGAGAGAGACAGACTGCACGCGCGTGCTCCTAGGCTTTTCTTACCGGTCATGTATCGTCTCTCTCTAGCTTAGCTCGCGGGGCTGGAGAAGGTGCCGGTTTGGTTGCCCGACGTTTGCCAGCGCGCCAAGCGAAGGAGCGGGTCGGAAAGCTGTCGTGAGTCGAGGTGGTGGAGGGGTGGGGGGGCCTAAAGGAACGGCAGTCCGGCAGAACGACATGGTGTAAATAGACGATCATTCCCTCTCGGCGTGCCCTCTGTTTAGAACGGTCTCGTTCGTTACCTAGTTGCTCTAGTATTGAGTTTACCTAATTTATTGAATGGGTGCTATCTTGTTCATGGACACCGATCGGTTTCTCGGAGCTGCAGAAGAGCCGCGTTGCGGGACAACGCCGAGCAGCTCGTCGGTTAATCCCGTGGGAGCCTCAGTGGCCGGGTCACTCTGGACTCATTTCTCAGCCGTTATTCCAGTTCTTGATGATGTTCATGGTGCTTATTAGACTCCTAGTGACTTGTAACATGTAGTTCCCACTGTACTGCAATGATAGCTGCATACAGCTGCTGTACTAAAGACAAGTGTCATGTTTGCTGTTCTAATAAAGGACTTTTATGACAGACCGGCGAGGCTTTCCAGAGCATCTCTGCGCCTCTTCAGCCCCCTGCTTGGATTTCCGTCTCGTCCCCCCGGCGCTGGGCGCCCTGGGGCCCGGCAGCTCCCGCCTTTGCAGCCCATGCCCGGACCCGCAGAAGAGGAAGACCGCGGCCCTGCGGGCAACCGTGCCGGCAAAGCCGGGGCTGCACTGCTCACGCTGCACCAAGCCCGGGGTTTTACTCCCGCTAATTGAGGACCATTTAATTACATGGGAACGCAGCCCGGCGGCGGGTATTAATTGCCCCCAGGCAGCCCACACTCTCTCCCGCTTTGTCACCTAATTACACAGTCGTGGGGACTTCCACTTCCCAAATTGCAGGGCTGCGCTACATGATGAGCGTTTTATGGGCTCAATAAGCATAATCAGTCGCCAAGCCGAACGCGCGGGCGGGCGGCCGCATCCGAAGCTGGCTAAGGCGCAGAGCTAGCCCTGGGTGCTCAGCTCACCAGCCCCCGGGGATTTTCCAAGTCCTTCAAGACGATGCCAATTCGGAGAGGGTATCTGGGTCTTAGACCGAACGTGTAGCTGCTGCCTCTTCCAGCCACGTCCGTGGGCTTGCAAAGGCGCGCGCACGTGTGCGTGTGTTCGGGTGTTCAAAGCGCCAGGCCTGTAGC